CCACCAGCCTGCTGTTGGCTGTGCCTAGTGCCTTGCCCTAGCCCTGCTGTTGGCTGTGCCTGGTGCTGTACCCCACCAGCCCGCTGTTGGCTGTGCCCGTGCTGTACTCCACCAACCCTGCTGTTGGCCATGCCTGATTAACAGCCCTGTAGCCCACTTTGGCTGTGCCTAATGCACATGCCCACCAGCCCTGTATTGTTGGCTGTGCTGTGTATTACCCTGGCTGCTGTTAGCAGCTGTGCAGTGCACCCCACCAGCCCTGCTGTTAGCTGTGCCCTAGTGCTGCACCCCCCAGCCCCACTGTTAGCTGTGCCCAGTGCTGCTTTTACCAGCCCTGCTGTTAGCTGTGCCCAGTGCTGCTTACCCCTGGCTTTGCTGTTGGCTGTGCCCAGTGCTGTCCCACCCTTCCCCTACTGTTGCTGTGCCCTAGTGCTGTACCCCACACCAGCCCTGCTGTTAGCTGTGCCCAGTGCTGTACCCCTGTGGCCTGCTGTTGTGGCTGTGCCCAGTGCTGTGCCCCACCATTCCCTGCTGTTGGCTTCCTAGTCCTTTCCCTGTGTGTGCCAGTGCTATTTTACCAGCCCTACTGTTGGCTTGTGTGATGCTGTTGCCCCCACCCCTTTGTTGGCTGTGCCCGTGCTGTGCCCACCAGCCCTGCTGTTGGCTGTACTTTCAGGTGCTGCACCCCCACCAGCCTGCTGTTGGCTTACGCACAAGTGCTGCCCCACCAACCCTGCTGTTGGCTGTTGCCTAGTGCTGTACCCCACCAACCCTGCTGTTGCCAGCAACACTTGCCCTGGTGCTGTACCCACCAAGCCTGCTGTTGGCTGGCCCGCACAGTGCTTGCCCACCAGCCCTGCTGTTAGCTGTGCTAATTGCTGTACCCCTGGCCGCTTTGGCTACCTTGATGCTTGCACCCCACCAACCCCTGCTGTTGGCTGTGCCCTAGTGCTGTGCCCTGGCTTTGCGTGGTGGCTGTGCCCGTGCTGTGCCCCACCAGCCCCGCGCTGTTGGCTGTGCCCGGTGCTGGCGCCCCACCAGCAACCCTGCTGTTGAAACATGCCCGGTGCTGCCCACCAACCCTGCTGTTGGCTGTGCTGGTGCTGGCACCCCACCAGCAGCCCTGCTGTTGGCTGTGCCTAGTGCTGCTTTTACCAGCCTACTCTTTCTTGGCTGTGCCTGATGCTGTACCCCACCAGCACCACTGGCAGCTGTGCCTAGTGCTGTATTCCACCAGCTACTGCGGTAGCTGTGCCCAGTGCTGTACCAGCCCTACTGTTGGCTGTGCTGAGTGCTGTACCCCACCAGCCTGCTGTAGCTGTGCACTGTGCTGCTTTACAGCTCTGCTGTTAGCTGTGCCCAGTGCTGCTTTTACCAGCCCTGCTGTTGGCTGTGCCTAGTGCTGTATTCCTGTAGCTCTGCTGTTAGCTGTGCCAGTGCTGTGCACCAACCCCTGCTGTTGGCTGTGCCCAGTGCTGCTGCACCCCAGCCTGCTGTTGGCTGTGCCTGGTGCTGTATTCCACCAGCTCTGCTGTTAGCTGTGCCCAGTGCTGTACCCCTTAGCCCTGCTGTTGGCTGTTGCGCACTGGTGCTGTACCCCACCAGCCCTGCCAGTGGCTGGCCTTTCAATGCTGTAGCCCACCAGCCTGCTGTTGGCTGTGCCTGATACTGCCACCCCCACCAGCCCTGCTGTTGGCTGTGCCAGTGCTGTACCCCACCAGCCCACTGCTGTTTTGGCTGTGCCTGATGCTGTACCCCACCAGCTCTGCTGTTGGCTGTGCCCAGTGCTGTGCACTAACCCCTGTTGGCTGTGCCTAGTGCCATGCCCCACCAGCCCTGCTGTTGGCTGTGCCTAGTGCTGTGCCCCACCAGCCCCACTGTTGGCTGTGCCCAGTGCTGTGCTCCACACCTGTATTGGCTGCTGGTGCTGCCTCCACCCCAGCCACTGCTGTTGGCTGTGCCTGAGTGCTGTGCTCCACCAGCCCTGCTGTTGGCTGTGCCTAGTGCTGTACCCCACCAGCCCGCTGTTTGCTGTGTGCCCGGTGCTGTACTCCTGGCAACCTGCTGTTGTTTGTGCTGAAATGCTTCCATGCTCCACCAACCCTGCGTGGCTGTGCCCAGTGCTGCCACCCCTGGCCCACTGTTGGCTGTGCCTAGTGCTGTGCTCACCAGCCACTGCTGTTGGCTGTGCCTAGTGCTGTACCCCACCAGCCTGCTGTTGGCTGTGCTTGATGCTGTACCCACCAACCCTGCTGTTGGCTTGTGCCTGATGCTGCCCACCAGCCTGCTGTTGGCCTGTTGCTGTATTCCACCAGCTACCTTGTTGGCATGCCCAGTGCTGCCCACCAGCCTGCTGGCCAGCTTGTTAGCAGTTAACCAGCCTTACCAGCCTGCTGTTGGCTGTGCCTGATGCAGCCTTGGCTTTCCTGCTGTTGGCTGTGCCAGTGCTGTGCCCCACCAGCCTGCTGTTGGCTGTGCCTGGTGCTGTGCCCTGGCCCTGCTGGTGGCTGTGCCCTGGTGCTGTACCCCACCAGCCTGCTGTTAGCTTATTGCCCGGTGTGCCCCTGGCTTCCCTGCTGTTGGCTGCTGTTTACCCCCACCAGCCTGCTGTTGGCTGTGCCTAGTCTTTGTATTCCACCAACCCTACTGTTGGCTGTTACTGGTGCTGTACCCCACCCAGCCCTGCTGTTAGCTGTGCCTGATGCTGCCCCACCAGCTCTGCTGTTGGCTGTGCCCAGTGCTGCTTGCCCCACCAGCCCTGCTGTTGGCTGTGCCTGAGTGCTGTGCCCACCAGCCCTGCTGTTGGCTGTGCCTAGTG